AACATAAAACTTAGTTGTAGTCCAGCGGAGTGAAGCGGGCTAGACTATGGAGTGCTACCTTCAAAGAAGGTGCAAGGAGCGACTCCCCTAACTAACTCTTTTTTACTTTTTGCATCGGTAACTTCTCCCATGTCATTCTTTACTTAATTTTGTGGTGACCTTTATTACCTTGTTTTGTTTCTTTTTTTTCATGATATTTTCTTATACTTTTCTGTAAATGGTATTGACCTTTTTATTAATTTATTTCTCATATTAAGAAGAACTTTTTTTTCAGTTTGCATTTTTCCACGAAAAAAAAGATAATCAGTTGTGAGATTATAGCTATGAATTAGTAATTATACTAACATTTCCCCTTTTTTTTTTTCCGACAACAAACTAACTACCAGTTTGTGAAATTGAATTAAATGTATAAATATTACTCACTTGTTTTTTTTATTAAGTGATCCATTAGTATTTTTGCACTATTTATTTGCTCACTTTGACTAATGTTTGTGATTCATATATAAGATAAAATTTAGTCTTGTGGGTAATTGTTGAATTGTCTTAATGAATAAATTATTAATTTTTAATTTTTATAATTTATACATATTGATAATTAAAGATATCATGATCAAAGATTTGTATCAATCGGTATATATGGCCAACAGAAATAGAGCACTTATTAAAAAACATGGAGAAACTATTATACTAAAAGTGCTAACATGTTATTATAAGGGCCCTAATTTCTTACTTTGCCTAGGGTCCATAAAATGTCAAGAACGGGCCTGCTAGTTTTGGCCTGGTGTGAGGCAGAACCAAAGCAAACCAACCCAACAATGTTAAAGATAATGCACATAATGCTGCTCAAGTTAGACTATCTCCAATGGTGAGACTTGAGGGAGTTTTTTTTTTTTACGAGAGAAAGTATTTTTTACAAAGTATACCGATAAATTGGTATCTAAACTTAGCAACTCCAAAAGAAAGTTGCTAAGTTTAGATACCCAACTTTGAGTTCATTTGACAAAACGTGTGGGCTCTTATCATAATTATAATATATTTTGTAATTTATTTCAGTTTTGATATATATATATATATATATATATATATATATATATATATATATATATATATATATTTGTTTTGTTTTGAAAAAACTTACAATTAGTATACTTTAGAGAGTCTTACAATTGAGAAATTAGATTTCACATGAGTTGCTAAATTGAGAAGTGGGTTGGGTATCACTATTGGAGGTAAAAAAAACAACTCATTTTGTATTTCAATACTCAAAGTTCAGTCTCACCGATAGAAATGGTCTTATAACATTTAGTATTCCTCAAAAAAAAAAAAAAATAAGGTTATAACATTTAGGAAATACTAAAACCTACCAAAAACCAATATATTTCAACATGCATGGTAAAATATCTTGTTTAGAAGCTGAAATACATTGTAGTTTAGTTTCCCAACAAGACATGGACAAATCCAATTCAACCAAAGTTACATAATGACTTGAACCGAAAACATAGAACCTAACGAAGTAATCTTAAACAGCCTCAGTTAAGAATTTAAGATAGATAAAAGTGTTTCCTACTCGGCTACTCCGTATTTCATAACCAAATATGTCCAAGGTTTAGTATCAATATTAGCTTTACTTGCTTTATAATTATAACCCATACAAGTTAGAAATTTAAAACTAACGATTAAATTTTTTTTCATAATGATACAGGTTTAGTATCATTATTGAAAAGTAATGAATATGATAGAAAATAAATAATACGGAGTAATAATAAAAAGTAATACGGAGCAGTGGTTTTGGGTGGGGAATGGGGAAATAAGGCTTCAACCCCTAAAAACTCTTAACTGAGGAATTACTTCGTCTTCCAGATACTCTGCCTCTGAGTAACTGAGTTGAGCAATGAAGATGGCGACTAAATCTGGTAATCTTCTTCACTGCAATTCTTATTACAATTTCTTCACCTCTCTACTTGGATTTCGTTGTTATTCCGATTGCTCTAAATTTCTTGCTGTTGATGATGACGACCCCAAATTGTTTCTCAAATTTGTTAGACAACAATCCAAATTAGGGTTTACTGATGTCGAAACCCCCCTTTCCCATTTCCACCACATGAAATCGATGCGACCTCTTCCATCTATCATTGATTTATGGATTAAGTTTCTCTCTCTTATAAGAAAATCATTCCTAAATTTTTACTCCGTTTTTTTTATAAAATCAACGTACACTTAGACTAATGCCGAGTTTTTGGTGGCTTAATATTTATTTTTTTGAGGAATTTTGTGGGAGGTTTGTATGAAAATTATAGATTATTAAAACAAATATTAGCTAATAGTTTAATTAAATAAACTCTGTTGTCAGACTCATCAAGCAACTCCACTTCAAGCTTAACGTCTTGATCTTCTATTTTGGTCATGGTAAAGAGTGTAGCAGGTAAATTACCCTTAAACTGCAATTTCAAGTACCTTGATGCAGATGGCTTAGCCTGTTGAGGCAACGTTAACTGTTATAAGTCGTAGGTGGATCATAAAGAATTTAGGATTTGTTCACGACCGTAAATTCTTGCACCAAGCCTTACTCCAAAAGTCTGGTCTATAGGTGTGATATTTACAATAGACATCGTGAGTGAATGTTGTAAAGTGGTAAGTCATATATTTAAGGAAAATTTGTGAGGATGATTCTTTTAAGTGGTTAAACTTGTGAGGAAGGTCCATTTATGAAAAAGGTGGCATAAAAGGTCCTTTTATAGCGATTGGGTTGTGAGGAGGGTCCTTTGACCAAACTCCGACGTTTACTTACATATTCCGCCAAAAAAAGTCACATGACCACTTGAATCAGCATTTTTTTTTTTCTTTCCTCTTCATCTTCTTCCTCCTTTTCAATTCCACACCTCCATGGCTCCATGAATGGCATTTCCGGCCAGACCTCCGCCCACATCCCTTTCCCCTTTGCAATCAAATGTATCATAGCAATACTAAAAACACAGATTCTCAACTACCCGGTAAATACTCTGTATTTCCTAAAGGATCGATATATATGACTTGCATCCAATTCACCCAGAAAAAGCTACAACTACAAAATACCCTAAAGGATTGATAGATATAACCCGACAATACTAACCCAACATTTATCAGCATCCAATTCACCCCGCAAAAGTTACTACCAATCAATGACTTAGCCATAATATTATTCACTTAGAACGACAACAATATTGCAGCCCAATTTAATTCACAACTATCCTATCAACTATTATCTCTAACAAAACTCGATGGTAAAATTAAAAGACGGAAAAGAGTTGCAAAATATCGATTGAATTCTATTAAATTATAGTCGGTATTCATAAGCTTTGACGAGATTCACATATTATATGCTAATTTAACATAAAAATTATTGAAATTAAACCAAAAAAATGTTGGAATTGGTTATTATATGCTAATTTGACGAGGCTTCCAGATCTTCATCAGATTGGTGAAGTAGTGGATAGATGGCTGCAATTGGTTATTGTTGCCGCTGTTTGTGGTGGAGAAGGGGAGAGCTAGGAGGTTCTATATACGGTGGCTGCAAAGTGTGAAGCGGTGGAGCTTGGTGGCGAAGAAAGTAAGGGCTGCTACTGTTGTTGGAGTGTGAGGAGGTTGATTGGTTGGAGATGCAGGGAATTGGCGGTGAAGGTGGGCTGTTTACGGTGAAGGGAAGGTGGCAACGCTGTTGTGGTTGCCATTATTGTTGCTGTAATTGTTGTTATTTGCGTTGTCGGTTGGCTGGAATTTGGTGGAGTGGTGGCTACTTGCGATGGCTGATTGGTGTTGCGTGGGTTGCTGTTGGTGTTGCGTAAGGGAAGGTTCGTTTGGAGTGTTTTTGAAAGGGTGAATGGGTGGGGGAAAGGGATGGGGTTCCTTTTTGCCGGAGGTGGAGGTGTGGTGGGCGGAGGTCAGAGGAAAGAAAAGAAGGAAAAAAAAAAGAAGGAAAAAAAAAAAGAAGTCGATTTTAGTGGTCACGTGACTTTTTTTGGCCGGAAAATGTATGTCAACGTCAGAGTTTGGTCAAAGTACCCTCCTCACAACCCAATCGCCATAAAATGACCTTTTGTGCCACCTTTTTCATAAAAAAGACTTTACTCACAAGGTCGATCACTTAAAAGGACCCTCCTCGCAAATTTTCCTATATTTAATGTTTTTTGATTGATTGTAAGCAAAGACCTTAACGCTTGTTATTTGGAACATATGAAGCAAATGTGGAGTAACCTGTAATATTTGTATCCAATTGATGCGCTTGCTTTCCATCTGCTAGTCAGTTGCATTTATTTTCTGATAACTTCCTCTGAATATTATCAGTACTAGAGCTCAAGTTTAGTTGTATCTAAGCCATGGCACAAATACAAGAACATGACATTAAAGATCGATAACACCAGTTGTGTTTACTTTGCAAAGATCAATCTGACCATTGTACGTAATTACACTTGTTCATTTGTTGGCTTGTTGCACGCATCTACTTAGTTTAATCCATTACTTGAGATGCTTTAATTGTATTTCCTGAGGCATGTTTCAGCTTTTTGGCAAAATAACTAGTCATTGAAATTGTTGTGTCATTGAAGATTTTGCATCTTCAAGGTACTAGGAACTTGCTGAATTAAATTCATGTTTGGATCTGATAGCATAGTTATAAGTTCGAAATCATGTCATTTTCACCTGGTGTTCTTTTGTTATTTTTTTTTTCTCTTTTTCCCATTCTGAAAAAAAAAAGAAATGAATGAAGCAAAAGGGGTTAAAAAAAAGTCTTTAGAATTGTGATATGCTTGTTCGCAGACTTCACTTGTTTGCAGATTTTTGTTTGTTTATTTGCAAATTAGAATATGATTGGACATACACCTGCTATGAAAAATAAGGCATATATATATATATATAGGAAATGAATCACGTGAAAACAAATCTTATGGTGAAAACTGAAAACGGATGATTAGGACCGTCAGATTTGTATTGGATGGATTAGATTACGCTCGCGTTATAAGCCGTCTAACACATCAAGTTTTCTGAAATATATTCTCTCTCCTCCCTTATTTCCTCTTTCCTCCATAATTTCATGGTTTCCTTTCTCACTCCTCTCTCTTTTTCTCTCCTATCTCTGGTCATCAATTCTTAAAGAAATTGTTATAATTATCAAATTAAAGTTGAATTAGCTTCAATCTTCATTAATAACGCCATCGATTTTATGTTGGAGCTAACAAATCAGCTTTTCTCTTACGATTTTTATTTGATTTCATATACACAATGTTTTATTTGAGTTTTGAATTAGTTATTTGTTTATTTTTATCATCATCAAATTGATTCTTCAATTGAATAATTAGAAGATTTTCAATGGAATTAAGATTTACTTTCAAATATATGATTCTTCATATTTTGTAGGTCAAGCAAACTAAATTTAAGCAAAATTTTGTGGGTGGTTTCGCTGGGTTTGTGGGTGGATTCGGTATTTTTGGTGGGTGTCGGTGGTGGTGGTGGTCTGGGTTTGGGGGTTTTGGTGGTGTCGGTGGTGGTGGTGGTCTGGCTTTGGGGTTTCGATGGTGTCGATGGTCTGGGTTTGGGGGTTTCGATGGTGGTGGTGGTCTAGGTTTGGGGGTTATGGTGGTGTTGGTGGTTGTGGTGGTCTGGGTTTGGTTTAGTATGACTGTATGAGTACTCTCTTGTAAGTTAACCATCTCATCTTCATGTAACATTGCATAATTTTTCTTTCTTTCTTTTTCATGAAAGGATGTCAATGTCAGCTGGTCCAAATATTTATGGTACCAAAGATTTTCAGAAACTTCAATTGGTCTTAAAGTTCTAGATCGTGATATGTAATCCTTGAACAAATTTTAAAAATTGGGTATTATTTTTATGTTCAATTTACCACTGACAATTTTTTTATTTTTTTTCTTTCTTTCTTTCTTTCTTTTTCTGGGTGTATAGAAGGATATGGTAGTATAAGCTTAGCTGATGCATTAAAGCTGTTTGGCATGTGTAGACTGCCTCAATCTCTCCTTATGCAGGTTAGTCTACAAACTTTGGCACATTTAGTTGGTTATAATTTTTCTTTATGTTTTAATTTTGGTGTTTTTCCTTTGGTTTTAATTTTTTCCATTTTTAAAGCTTCAACTTGCAACATATTATGATTCTTATTTCAAATTCTTCCCTAAAATATCACTTATTACTTTTGTTGTTTTGTAATAGATATGGCGATGAACATAAGCTTGTTGGATTTTCAGCAACATTGCAAGCTATAATTAATATAGTTATCTTATCTTTGTATATAGCGATCTTTACGTAAATGTGGTCAAATACCCTACTTTTGTATATAGTGACGTCTATGAATACAAAATTGATATAGTTACCCTATTTTTGTATATAGTGACAAATGTTGTAAAAATTGATATAGTTACCCTATTTTTGTATATAGTTACGTTATTTTTATATATAGTGACTCTACGTTATATATATATATACGGGGAGGTTCCGCTGAAAACAGGACTTATGGTGAAAACTAAAAACAGAAAATCTCAACCATCCATTATTACTAACAAAATCTAACGGTTTAAATAGGATAACTATTTTAATTTTGACCACATTTACATAGAGGTCACTATATACAAAAATAGGGTAACTATATTAATTTGACAGCATTTACATAGAGATCACTATATAAAAAAATATGGTAACTATTTTAATTTTGACTATATTTACATAGAGGTCACTATATACAAAAATAGGGTAACTATATTAATTTTTACAACATTTACATTAAGGTCACTATATACAAAAATAGGGTAACTATATCAATTTTGATCATATTCTCATAAAAGTCACTATGTACAAAAGTAGAGTAACTATATCAATTTTAACCACATTTACATAAAGGTCACTATATACAAAGATAAGATAACTACATTAATTTTGATGGTAACCTCCAACCATAGAACATAAATCTAAAATATCATCAACAATTAAATGAAATAAACTTAAGCCACTGGATTGAGCACGCATATCTTGAATTAAACCCAAGCAATCACTTTCTAGTTTCAATCACTAACTTATCAATGCCTTCGTCCAGCGCTAACTTGTGAATATATCATAATCCTTAACCTGCAGCTTGTACACATTCTTTGACAAAAACCAGTCAACTTTTCCAGTCACTGACACATACAATCAAAGATCAATCCAGGAGACTCCAGCAAACCAGACTTTAAATGGAATGACGATGTTGAATAACTTAATAAGCCACAAGTTGTGTCAGCTAAAAAGAACCTGAGACCTCACTGAAAGCTTAGAACTCCTTTAATGTTTGGTTTACTGATCAGCAAGCATTTGGACTAAGCAACTAGATCTGCTCATCAAGGGAATTTTTCAGTTCTGATCTTCAGGGTGATCAAATATCATTTCCTGTTCCATATATAATCATAAGTGTCAGATTTGGCACCTTCATAGAAAAAAAAAGGACATATCTCAACAATTACAGCTTAAAGCATCACTAGAAATCATAAAACCCAAGAAAATTACATCTAAGGTAGTAACTTTGCCAACTGTCTATTGCCTATATAGTATAAAGAGACTCCAAGGGGCATTTTCAAATTTAGATTTCAAGGACTAAATTAACCGTAGAGTCAGCGTTTCTTTTGTGTATATTTTAAGATGTGAAGTCATAGTATATACTGCTAATAGTTTATTTATGATGTAGGAACAGGGTAACCACCAGTAAGACTACAAATATCTAAATCCCCCACCAATCCTATTCTAAGCTTGAGCATAAGGGTAATTTTATGGTATGTAGTGACTTTGCAAAAGTCACCACCACGCTATATAACCCAATCACTCCTCCAGATCAAGATTTTATTCATCATACTTAATCAGACATCCCAAGTTCAAAAGGATTGGCCCGTGTGACTGATGTCTGATACAAGGTCGTAATCGATCAAAGCTAACCTTAATGACTAATGTTGATTGTAGAGTTCAACTCAAACGCAATGATTTACATGACACCGCAATATAATACGAAGTATGTTTCCACAATCTGCGACTTTTGCTAGAATTCAACCATCCATAATCGCAAGTCAAAAACCTAGTATAGAAAACCAACAATAAAACGAGGATTAATGACCTATAAGGGCTATAAACACTTGTGCATGTTACTAAAGTAATGGACAAAGCTATCAATAAGAAGTATATTACAGAATTACAACCTTTAGCTTTGAAAAAACTCCAAATTAAACATGGTGATCCTATATATATATATATAGGAAGTGGATCATGTGAAAACAAGCTTAAAGCTGATAACTAAAAACATAATATCTTGACCATTGACTTTTAATCAATGGATGAGATTATACCCAAGTAGATAACCCCTCATCATTTACTTTCTCTCTCTTCAAAAATAACCCAAACTTCCCTCTAATCTCTCTCCTAAATCACCGGATTTTCTCTCCAAACACCACCATAATTGCTTCAAGTCGAACACAATTTCAACAAATTTCTTGCGATTTTTGCCTAAATTTTGCTAACATTGTTCATAAAACTTGCAAAAATCAAGTCAAATCGAATAATTGAAGCTGACATTTCATCAATGAAACCCTAGATTTTCGCAGCAAATCAAAGTGAAATGCGAATGAAACGAAGCGACGAACAATCGAATCTTACTGAACTTGGTTACGAAATGGAAAGGTAAGTACTTCGTTTTCAATTTTTGAGTTCTTCGTTTCTGATTTTTGTTTGATTTATTAATTTTGCTCTTTTTTTTTTTGGAATGGAAATTATCGATTTGATTTGTATTTGTGAGTTTCGACTTCAGTTTCATATATATATATAGAAGATCAAGATGTTAAGCTTGAAGTGGAGTTGCTTGATGAGTCTGACAACAGAGTTTATTTGATTAAACTATTAGCCAATATTTGTTTTAATAATCTATAATTTTCATACAAACCTCCCACAAAATTCCTCAAAAAAATAAATATTAAGCCACCAAAAACTCAGCATTAGTCTAAGTGTACGTTGATTTTTTTTAAAAAAACAGAGTAAAAATTTAGGAATGATTTTCTTATAAGAGAGAGAAACTTAATCCATAAACTTAAAAAAAAAAAAAAAAAAAGAAAAAAAAAAAGGGATATAATGTAAAACTAAAGATGGACTTGGTGTTGTAATCTGCAATGACAATAAAGAATCGTTAATTGCAGCTGCTAGATTATCATGATACAAATCCAGCTATTGCCAAAGCTATGGCTCCTCAATTTGTGCTACAAATAGGAAGGAAATGAATATGATCGTATATAACAACGCAAGTCTAGAGAAATGCTAGAATGATCCAACTCATCCAAGCAACCAAAAGAATGAAAAGTCATAATATGAGTATATGACTACCTTGCTACATTTAGTTCCAACTTCTGAGACCAATCAACATCATCCATAATCAACAGCCTCCTAGCTTATGATCAATGCCCCAGAAAACGAAACAGCAAAACATAAAATATAAGCTAGCAGAGCATTCTTTCCTAAAACTCCACATATTTCGTTGAACTACACTTAAGCAAACTGAGAAACTGCATCTCTTATGCGAATTACTAATATGAGGAATTATAGCTTCAACACTTATAGATTCACCCTTAGTATGGAAGAAAGCATAACCACGGAAACCGAGGGTTGGGTTGGGGGGGGGGGAATGTGACTATAAGAGACATGCCCAATGTGACTTCAAAAAGTATTAAAAGCTTGATGCAACGATTACTTGATAAAAAAAAAAAAATAAAAATTGATACATGATACTTTTAAGCCTCCAAATGCAATACTCCATTAATATTATAGATAACCATAATCATAAGTCAAATTTCAACCTCAGCACTACACAATGCAAGTAATATAGTAACATCGTCATATCATATAAAACTATAGATAACCAGAGAAGCAGGATCTAAACATAAACCATAATTTAAAATTATCAAAAGCCAAATACCTTACAATTCATATCTCAAAGTACTTTCGAAGCAAAGCCTTGTCTGAATCGCTAACAGCATGATCAGTTATGAAGCTAAGAAATAGAGAAGCCGCGTAAGCATCCGCAGCAAACCCTTTAATTCTCATGGTACTGACTAGTTCCAATGCCTTGCTGATATCCTTGCCATAAAGATATCCTTTAATAATAGTGTTGTAGGTACACTCATCAGGTGAACACCCATTGTCCTCCATTTCCTTTACAAGTTTAGTAGCTTCATCAAGCAAACCCTCTTTGCAATATCCTTTTACAATAATATTATAACTGAATACATCGGGCTGTAAGCACTTCGCGGGCAGAGAAGTGAAAATATCCACTGCTTCTGTAAGGCGCTTAGCTTCACACAAACCATCCATAAGAATACAGTATGTAAAAGTATCTGGGACCACTCCAGTAGTCTCTATTTCTTTCATTGTTGCAATTGCCTCATCAATTTGTGCATTCTTACACATGCCATCAAGTAATGAGTTCCAAGTTATTACATCTGGCTTTAGTCCATGAGCTTCCATTTCCTTGAAAAACTGGTGTGCAAGCTTGAGCTGATTGTCTTTGCACAAAGCATCTATAAGAGTGTTGTACGTGATAACATTAGGGGCTAATCCGTTAAAATGCATCTCTTGGAGCAGGCCAAGAGCTTTGTCAATCTTTTTAGACTTGCAATAGCCATTGATTAAGCTGTTGTAAGTAACTACATTAGGTTTGCAACCATTTTCAACCATCAAATCCATAAGCTTTTCTGCCTCATCCATCTCACCATGTAAACAGTATCCATCTAACAGAGCACTGTAAGTGATGATATTGGGAGCCAAATCTGTCTTAGTCATGTATTCAAAAATGTCCCAGGCTTCACCAACCTTGCCATCTTTACAATACATATCAATCAACATGCTGTAGGTCTGAATGTCAGGAGTTATGTTGTTCCTTAACATCTCAGTCAGCATTTGTTGAGCCTCTTTCTGTTGTCCCAAAGTTAACATACCTCGAATTAAGGTAGTATAGGTGAAAACATCGGGGGAAATTCCCTTGACTTTCATCTCCTTGAAAAGGAGGAGAGCCTGAGGTAATAACTGGTCTTTACAGAGACTATCAATGATGGTGCTGTAAATGACAACATTAGGCATAAAATGGCCATAAGACTCCATATTTATAAGGAGTTTGAGAGCACCGGCATTATCACCGGACCTACAGAGACCTTTGAACATAGAACCATAAGTGACTAATGTGGGTTGGAGGCCAAGCTTGAGAATTTTATCCAACAATGGAACGGCTTTCTCAAATTGATTAGAGTGAATGAAGCCATTGATGAGAGTAGTAAAGGTGACAATATCAGGTTGAAAACCAAGTTTAATAATGTTGGCGAGAACAGAAAACCCCAAATCAACAAAGTTCAAACGACAGTAGCAATTAGCAAGGATGTTAAGGGAGTAAAGATCAGGACGAAGACCTAAGAAAAAGAGCTGCCTGTAAAGAGAAATGACAGTGGAGAAAGGGGGGTGGGGTTTAATCTTGGACATGGATGAAAAAAGCATATTGAAATCGATAATACCAGGAAGTGGGCGAATCAATTTCATATGATCGAAAAGAGAAAGGGGGGTTTCAACATCAGAAAAACCTAATTTGGATTGTTGTCTAACAAATTTGAGAAACAATTTGGGGTCATCATCAGCATCAGCATTAACATGAAAATCAAAATGTTTGGGATGATAAGAGTAAAATCGGGAATGAAATAGCAATGGAAGAGGAGAAATAAGAAAAGAAAAAGGGGAAAAATTGAAAGACGAAGTGCAGGAAGAAAGAGGGAGAAAAGGAGGAAGATGAAGAAGATTACCTAAAAATGGCGAAGAAGAAGAAGATGCAGAACCGAGCAAAAGTAGAGCTTTGATTTATCAAGTCTCACTCTCAATCTTACAAAGTTTTTCCGCAAAACGCCCATACAACACTTGTATATAAGTATCTCGCAGCACAATTGCAATGATTTATCAAGTCTTATTCATCTTTTCAATTGAATAATTAGATTAATTTACTTAATTTCAAGTTTTCAACCAACAAGTTGATTATATTCAGCAATACATTGAATTTTGGAAAATAAAAATTGAGCAAATATGTGAATAAGTTTAAAAATAGCCTTAGTTAATTTAATCGTTAGTAATAATATGAGTAGTAATATCTAATTCTAGCTATAACCTTTCCAATAAATAGCAACATGCTTTTCAGCATTTGTTATGTCTTCAACATCCTACTCTTTATTAAAATATTTTTGTACTACGTAACCAAAGATGATGGAAATACTCTCTTCATTTTTTTTAGTGTTACATGAACTCGTGTTTTTCAAGTATTATACTTTTTTTCTCACTCACATTTATTACTTTTCAATAAAATATTAACCTCACTATTTTTCTTTTGTAATTTTTTAATACACTATTGAACTCCTAAAATTATGTACCAGTCAAAGTGTACCACTTAAAAATAACAAAGGGAATAATAATGTTGATAATATTTGGTTTGTTGAAAATACAAAAGTAAAAAAAATTAATCATTAATTTTAAATTTCATTTATTTTTTACTAAAATACAAAGTTTTTTTTTTCATTAATAAATCTTACATTTCTTTAATTCCCTAAATTGAAAAACCCAGTTTATTTAATTTATCTCAATTTAGACCTATTGGTCTTTGTAACACCATTATATATTAGTCACAACATTTGTTTCTTCTAAGTTGAAACTTGTATTGGATATTAAGAAGCCACCTTCAATCTAGTTTCATTCAAGGAAAAGGAACAAAGGATAATATTATTATAATAAAGGAAATAGCTCACAATATATATATATATATATATATATATATATATATATATATATATATATATATATATATATATATATATAAAAGCAATAACATAGAAGTTGGGCTTAAATAAGGCTAATTACTATTTAGAGTGGAATTTCATTCATGAAACTCTCCTTGGTTTTAATTTTCCTTCATCAATAATTAATATCATCATGCATTGCATCACTACTCCACAAATTTCAGTTCCTTAGAATGGTGAGATTACTAAGGAATTTAAACCCTCAAGAGGCATTAAACAAGGGGGGATGTCTTTTTATATTTTTGTCCTTTGTCTCGAGCGTCGTCTTTCTATGATAATAGGAAAAAAAAAAATTAATTGAATAAGGTCTTTGGAAATCTATGAAAATTACTCGCCCTATTTACATGTCTCATATTTTTATGCTGATGATATTTTCCTATTTAGAAGATCTTCCAAAACTAACATTGATGTAATTAATTATGGAAGTTTTGAATGCTTTTGGATTAGGAGAGATTTAGTGAATTGAAAAAAATTTAATTTTCCCTCCAATATTTCTTTTGGTAAATACCTTGGAGTAGTGATTAGCCCTATCAAATTTTGGTCTCTTAGATAAAACTATGACTAGAATACATGGGTGGCCGTCCAAACTTTTGAACATGGCAATTCGGCAAGTAGGTGTAACTTGGTGAAATATCGTGTGTATATATATATATATATATATATATATACACACACGGGAACTCTTTGTGTGTATTGTTTAGTTGTGTTGATGATCATGCATGTGATACATTCAAATTGTTACTTTTGATATTATTTTTTTATAGGTAAGATGCACTGAGGTTCGAACCTCCGTCACACAGGGGAAAATAGAGGGACTAACCATCCCTCCATCTCTTAGATCCTCTTTTGATATCATGAAATATATTAGTATAATTTAATAATAATTGACAACAAATACGAGTATACCGGAAATGATTTTGGCACACCCTATGTGAGAGCACAATTTTTTATGATCTTCTCACATAAATGTGTGCCGATATTAATTAAGGGTGTGCCAAAATCAATTTCCAATATACCTTTTCAATAGTTATACTCCAAGTATATTGTTTCCCACCAATTTCGGAGTATACACCCGGGATAGAGCCTAGAGGTACATTTGTTGGCACTTGAACAAAACCACCACATTCATGATTTACACATACTTGTTGTCCTACCTATAACAAACACAAATATTATAACATTAATTAACTTAGTTAAATAAAATGATAAAAGAAAAGCTGAGAATAATTCTATTTGAATCATCAATGTTTGTTTGAATAACAGCAATCTGCATCAACAGATAATACCCCAAATAAAATTAATTTTCACATAGTTTATTTATTGGTGCTATTTCATATTGGTGTCTTTAAACTTACATATAGGCTTAGTATGTTCATGTATAGTAGTGCTTTGTAATAGCCCATAAAATATTAGTCTTAGCCTCTAAAGGCTATTAATGCGAAGTTTTTGGTTCGGAATTCTTTCTTTCTCTTTAGGCCCTATTAAGTGTTGTCCAACAATTCGTCCAAATAGTATCATATTGCCAAAATAACTGGGCAAATAGAAGTTACACAAAAGTAACAATGATATAAGTATATATTATATAACCTGCATACCACTTGAAATCAAACATGCCTTTAGAAATTAAAGAGCAATATCTAAGACATTTTGTGCTAAATATCACACAAATTAATAGAGATTAAACATTTAAGTCGTGAAAAATTCACACAATGTTCTAGTGGTCCTGGTATGAATGTTGGTCGAGGTGGATTAGGATCTTGAACATTAGCTCTTAAAATGGGAACAGTGCCATTCTTGAGTCCTTCACCCTTAGGTTCCTTTCAGATGTTTTCTATCTGAAGCAGGCGCCCAAACTTTGTTTTGGGGTTTCACGAGCCTCGACGTTGTTAAAGCTTTCTTGCAAATAAGAACAGCTTAGGAATGATAGGTCACATGTCCATGTGATCGGTTTGAAGACCTTACGTGGTGATAAGTTGATCCCACTAGGTATAGTTAAACTAGTCATGATCAAACAGTTTCGATTCTCTCTGCTCTCGTTGTGTTTTGAAGTGGGTATCCGCTCTTGGGCCTATAAAGAGGTCCTGTTTCGCAACTTTTCCGGCCAACTCCAGTTATGTATCTTGGTTTTTATTGTCGAATGTTGGAAAGGCTTAAATGTTAAAAGCCATGTAGTAAGATTTAGGTTTTATTTCATATGTTGTAAACTCTGATTTTATTAATATCATTTGCTTTTGTCAAAAAAAAAAAAAAAAAAAAAAGATAGGGTTGATGCTACCTGCATGTATACACATCTTCCTACATTTATATTTAGATGCAACAATTTGAATTCGCCTATTTATTTTATGATTAATATATTTTATTATCAATATTAAAAGTCACTGAAAATTGATATTTGAAAATTATAAATCAAAATGTATCTAACAAGAACCTTCATGACTATGCATTCTTGTGAAATACCAACCAAAACCAAGCAAGTCAATTTTTTACATGTTGACCAAATGAATATATAGTAAATGGAAAGACGGAAAAACAAAAAAAAAACACAAAAGGAGTTTATATATTTACCTTGGAAATATGACTTTTTAATGTCAAACGATAGAAGGATGGTTGCTTATAGAAATCTACGCAGTTGTAAAGTTGTTCGATTGAAGTCTGAATAAATTAATAATAGAAATATATCAGGGTACCGTAATATATACAAGAAAAGAAGAACCTTAAAAATTAAATCAAACACCTTCACTTATTTACATAATAAGAATGAATAAAAGTATAATTTATGGACTAATTGAAGATCAAACACCTTAAAATTTAGAACAGGTTTTTGAGATTGTGTTTTTCCATTAACACTTCCCAAAAGCATCGAAGAAACAACTAAACAAATGATCATATTATTAGTATAATACTCCCAAGTATGGAGACAATATTATATAGTAGAAAGATATATTTTATTACCTAATTAATAATTAGGAACAATATCAAGTCTTACCAAAGTTTGGAAGATATTATAAATTTTGCAATTAATGTTGTTTATAGACTTTGTATGAACAATTTCCTAATCTAGCGTTAGAAATAAAAATAAAAATAAAAATAAAAAAATTCTCAATCTAGTTTTGTGTCAAAATAAATTCCATATTTGAGTGTTCATGTAGGTTCCGATACACAAAGCTACTCCGTAGTGTATTTCTTGGGTTGGTATGGTTTAAATCAGTTGTAAAAAACAGATGACAATTGTGTTGCCACTTGATTGCTCACTTGAGTTTGTAGACTCCCTTCTGTCATTCATAAGTAATTTTAGCCTAGGTGATATGGAAATAGTGAAAGCTGAGTTGAACCAACACTTTGTAATATGTCTGTATATACTCTGTGTCTCTGTATAAACCAACTTAACAGTTAGCATTTCGTATTTCGCATTAGAACAATAGAAAAGTCCCAATATTTTCAGCTATAAAGCACAAAATCATAAAAAAAAAAAAAAAAAAAAGTAGCATTACAACCTAGAAGTCCCAATTTATTGTAATATACTTGGTTTTTTATACAATGGAGCCATGGGGTATATATAGTAGGCATTATCAGATCATAGAGTCAGAGATATACAAACTGGTAGACTCGAGATAAGCATTACGAAGATAAAAAAAACTTCCAGTGAACACCATCAACATTCAAATATAACAAAATTTTACTATTTCACTGCGAAATTTTAAGGAGTCCTGCGCTAGCTTTCAAGGGGGATATGATCTGACGACCTACCATGCCCCTTCATCAAAGGCATTGCTTCGGATCACCTAATGGTATTGCAGCAAATATTCTCCTCTTTAAATTTGCCTATCACCTGGGAAAGTGGGAAACCAGGTTAATTTCTGCAAATAGATTAATATATCATTTTGTGCATGTAGTCATTGGAACTACAAATGGTTAAGCACAGACTGTACGCTACAATGAAAGCACACAAACAGACAGCAAGACACATGAGAACATACATGCAAATATAAACTTCTGCAAATCTTGGCCAAGGACTGCCTTTCTCGTGCACCCAACTTGTGAAAAGAACAATCATAAAATGCATTGCTTGCTGAATAATCTTTGAGAATGTGAATTCACCACTGTTAACAGTACAGACTCAAGATTCAAGAATTCACATAGACATCAGACTTGACATATGCTCCCTCCATCAGCACATAACTAGTAAACCCAACCAAAAATTTAAAAGTGACAAAACCCTAAATAGTACAAACAAAAGGGGAAGGTGGGCGTTAGTAAATGGAGGATGGCAAAGGCACATTCCAACATAATTGTTTCAATTTAAGTATGAGAAGGAGGAAGTAACAACCAGTTTTAAAACAGCACCTGTAAAACTGTAAGAGCAATTGACAGAATTATGCCTAATGCTAGCATCATAACAAGACATAAGCATGATATAAAAACCTTCAAAATTATTCTCATCTACAGTACAGTGTACAATGAGGCCCAGGGCAGCTATCTGGTCAGCATGTAAACCTATCTCCAAAATTTATCAATCACACAGTACGCTACAACCTGTGACATCTCATCCAAGATCATCAAGTGCACACAAGAGGTCATTAAGATGACTTAAATGGCAATATAATGACCTTAGGAAAGAAAGCCACAAGGAGCACATTTGTATCAGATTTGGCTAAATTGCATCATTCCAGCAAGACCCCGAAGAAGGGCACATATAATAAAGATAAGATTTGGCACATATGATGCGAAAAGGTGTTAATTCAAAAGGTCAGCATAGAAATGTACTTTGAGAAAGAGCAAAATCACAAATCATTTTGCTGTTTTAAAATATGTCAAGTTATATTCTCACAGATATGAATGAAAAGGATTAGATCAAATTAGCATACAGTACTTGTCTCTAACCCTGACTAACTAATGACTGTCAGTCAAAAACAAGAGGGAGCAATCTGAGAGTCACATATTTTACAACCATTCTAAACCTTTTATAATTCTGACCCAGAAACCAGCTGTGGGCACCAAATGACAAGTATGCATCAGCAGAACTAAACAAGATGTTGAATGCCATAAAACTAGCAGGTCTTGTAAGTGTGTTAGGGACAGAAGCAACCAAGCTCTTTGCATCCTAATGAAAAGATAAGTTGTGCCAGTGATGACCTAACTATAGAAAATTTTCATTACAAGGAATAGCTACGGATTTCATATAAAATGAATATTGCCCAAGATCACCAATATTTGTACAGCAATTGATGCATGCTTCAATGAATCTACAATGGTTTTCGGTAAAAGAAACCACTACCACACAAGTTGGCAAATTCTATGGTTGTTACAATGGCTTTCTTTGAAAAATAACCATTTTAGAAATTTTGAATAAAAGTAAAATCAGAGGAAGTGTTGGGATATATGAAAAAAAAAAAAAGAAAGAAAAATTTAAGCAATGGAGAGAGAACTGTCTTAAACTCGTAGAAATGTGATATGCAAGGCATGAGCCAATAATTGCATTCAAAATGCAGTGTCCCTATACTACTGAGATACAATTATACAAATGAGGGTACCTTAGTTTTCATGGCTAAATCTCTACGAGAAATAATGTGTTAGGCTGCTTAGGCATCATTACATATACATAAACTCTAGTCTGAAATAATCTCTTCTCTATAAGCCTTCAACTCCAAAGTACATTATAGTATTATACCCATGGTTCTTAAAAAAAATAAACAATAAATGCACAACACAAAGACACATAACCAATCTTGGATCCCATAGATATAGATACACATTGAAAAAACATTCATACCCTAGAGACCATAAATTAATTTCCAGATTAAGTAATTAACTCCCTTCCTGGTTCCCCTGCCAAAAAAATCTATGGATAATGCTATTAATATAGTGTGAGAGAGAAAATGAACAGTACAAAAAGCACTACCTTAACCTTACCTGCACGATATCAATTGAAGGCTTGAAGCACGTACATATAATATGCAATTTGGAGATCCAATCCCCGTCCTTGACTGATGAATGAAAGACCCATATTCTTACTAGTTCTCAACATTGTCATCAGCAAAGCCTTGATGTTTAGCAAGAGATGTGGCTTTGAGCATCTCTGATGCAATCATTTTTTGCATCTCAATAAGATGCATCACAATGACACAAATAGCCATCTTAAAAATGCCAGCCATTCCTGCGCCAGTATCTCCTAGCATTTTCATTAACACGAGCTTGTTTTACTTTAAGGAAAAGCTTATAAGCCCTATCTACTTTGTTAAAAGCCATGAGTTTCTTATTCAGTTTGCTATACATGAGCCTGCTTGGACAGAACCCCTTACGCAGAGCCTCCTCCATAACACATACAGCAGCCTCAAGTTGTCCGTTGTTGCACAATCCATTAACAACATACTCATAAACATCAATGTCAGCAGAATATCCACTTTCCTGCATTTCATCAAATAACTTTAGAAGCATTCCACATTTACCAAATCGGGAAAGCCTCATAAGCAACAACTTATAGGCATTCAATGATATTCTACACCCCTGCTTTCTAGCACTTTTATAAATTATCATGGCAGCATGAGGTGGACCATAATTACACAATGGTTCAATGAACGAGGTTACCATCCCAGTGGTAGGAGTTACCCCTTGACGCAACATCTCATGAAACATCTCAAGTGCATCAGCTACTTTTCGAGCCTTTATCAAACCCCAAATAATTTTTGCGTAAGTGTCTATGTCCGGTGGACAGTCATTTCTTGACATTTCTTCACAGTACTTCATGCATTCGTCAAAATTCCCAACAAAGACATAATTAGCAATTACTGAATTATAAACTCCTATATTAGGTCGACACCCTTGACCCTCCATACTTTTGAAGATCTTAACAGCATCATCAACCAGACCAGCTTTACCTAAGCCTTCAATAAGACAACTATATGTCTCACAATCCGGACAAAACCCATCTTCTACCATCCCCTCCAAACACTTCTCCATTTCACTAACCTTACCTAACTTCGCCCACCCACCAATCACCACATTGTAAGTCACACAATCAAACACCAATTTTCCCCTCATCGAATTCAGCAACGAATTTGCAGTGCCCACATGAGCTCTCTTACACAAGCACTTCAATAGCACATTAAACTCCTCAGTACCACACTTCATCCCAAACTCATCCAATTTCCTAAACAACTCCACCGCTCTAGCTACGAAGCGAGACCTGATAAAGCTATCCATCACAATCTCAACTGTTCCGCAATTCATATTAATCCCTTCAACATACATTTCTCGAAACTTATCCATCATAAAATCAAACAACTTCCTCCTCCCTAAAGCCTTAAGAATCACATGATACACCCCTAAATCTCTACCAACACTATCATGCTTAATCGCCCAATTAAAAAACAAAACCATAGCATCACCCCCTAAGTCTCCCTTATCTAAAACCCTAGAAACAACATCAACACTTAGCTGTACATCACCTAAAGCAGCAGTTAAGGCATTTTCTATCAAAACTTTACTCTTTAACTTCTGAAGAAAAACCCCACGTAATTTATCTTCTAACGATAAAAAACCATCCGGGGAAACCCTAATTAGGGTTTGGTTTTCAATAAGGGTTTCCACTGGATTAGGAATGTAGAGATTATTAGGGATTGTAGTTGTCCGATGAACAGGTAATAGATTTGAGAGTTCAGCAAGTACCTTAGATTCGTCGAGATTACCATTATTAGAACTTGGGTGTATGAGTGAAAGATTTCCATCTTCTTTTTGTTGTTGTTGTTCAAAGTTAGTGGATGCTTCAATGGTGGAAAATTGAGAAAATGAGGATAGTGAGAAGATAGAGAAAAAGGAGTACCTGGAATTTTTGGCAAACCCCATTAATCTTTGAGGAGAAAATGCCATGGCAGAGATGTGAATGAGACTCAGCTCTCCGCCATTGAAGCAGCAACACCATTCATCGTGTTTGAGAAGAAGAAGTGGATTGTCCACTCTCCCGGAGAAGGCAGAGTATGTAAAATACGCTGTTTGAGCAGAAGTGAGGCTGATGAATCATAATTTCTAGGTATTTATGGACAATTTGGCCTTTGGTAAAAGCTTTTTGAAGAGCTTTTAGCTTATTGAGTCTTATTAGAGGTTTGACCATTTTAAAAAGCCAGTTTAGGTGTTTGGAATAAAGCTTATTGAAAAAGCCTTTTGGGATCAAAAAGCTCATTTAGGAAAAGCTCATTGAACAATTCCCGGGAAAAATAATGTGGAAAAAATCAATTGAGGCGACGGGTGAATTGAGATAATTTTGTCAACTGCTTATGCCATTCTATAAAAAATGCTAACATATGTCAAAGTGGATTACGTAAATACTTCGTAGTACAAAAAATTCAACATGGGGCACTTAAGTAAAAATGGGGGGAGTAAAGACTATTCATGCTCAAGCAGCCTGACTTCAGATTGAATGTAACTCAAGATACACAAGTTTCACCATTTTTATACTAACAAATGGCATCCAATCTATCAACTATACACCTTTACATCAAAACCAAGATCAAAACAAGTAATAGCAGTGTCATCGAACAAATGATGAACCTTGAACTGGAAAATTGGATTACATAAGGAGGAAAATCTAACTCTAGAAACTCAATTCATTCACAAAGACCGAGGAATTATATACTAGGCCAGCCTTGGCATTGGTCACTTTCGAATGTTAAGTTCCTTCGCAATATCTCTTGTTAGGCTGAATTGCATAGTGCTGTGCCAAGGAAACAAAGTTCGAGTAACTGGTAGCTTTCTCCGAAGATCCTGCCATCACAATTGTAAGAGGTCTCAGAAAGCAATGAGAGAGAGTTGTGAAGACAAATGAACATCTATGCCAAAACTCTTTCATGTAGCACCTCAACACATCCATGACTTTTAAATTTTGCAGATCATATAAGATCAGATATAGGAAACAACAATCAAAACAAATTTACAAAGTGGCTGTTTCTAAATAATAAAACAGTTTGAAACTAAGATTCTGAAATAGCTGGATAATAAAAGGTTACAAAACAAGCAACAAGAAGCTTGGATAGAAAGTACCTTGAAAGTGGTGTCCGGTAGCTTTAAGTATGAAGCCTGTATATGAAAAGTAATCAGCAAAGGATACAGAAAATATCTAAAAGTAAACCAAAACATTAACAAAAAAGGTGGAATGGAAATCAAGGATATTCAACTTCATTGAAAATTTGCAATGCCAAGGGCAGCAGAACAACGAAATGTGTTAGATCTTTTTTACTTTAAAGACACCTGAAGGAATAGGAGCCTTTCTCCCCTTCGCTACTGTTGTTTTATATACCATTATCACCTTTTCCCTTCTACATCCTAATTTATCCAAGCTAGCTGTCAGAAAATCAAATAAAATTACCTCCAGAGCTGCCAAGTACTCTGTTTCCTGATGCCGAATGATGTTGGTAATGGCTAAGGCTGAATCTTCTGGGTTCTGAAACAAAATAAAAATTACGCAGGACACAAGCAGTTTAATTAAGTAGGTAGAGGGTGAAACACAGATCAGACAAATATGCGATAGAAGCACATATTTCTAAGGATAGACTACATCTTTCTTCTTGGGAAGGAAAAAGCAAAAGGGAAATAGTCATAAACACAGCTCCTGCAGCCAACCCCATCAATAGAGATCCATTTGGGAACAAGTTAACTTGCTTCAAGGCAGGGCAAAGTCTTCTTTACACAGTCAATGTATGTCCACAAGGCATATGAAACTTACAGAATATAATGGTAATATGTATAACTAAGAATCCCAATAACATTTATCCAAGTGTGTATTACACTATTATGTTCACAAGTAGCACTGTAAAGGTGTGTATGCCCATTGAAGATAAGCAATAGCATAGCTTACTAGGGAGAGAGCTCAGAAGGATAGCTCCAAGAGCGTGACTTAGCTACATCATCTCGACGGTAGTATTATTGCAAACAGAACAACCAAACAAGTTACGAAGTATATAACTCTGAGTAAGCCCAACGCCCGTCGCTAGGTGAGAACTTTCATTAGTCAGAATTACAGGTCTTCAGAAAAGAAATCCAAGATTCTCTTCAACAATGACTAGCATACCAATCAGTAGGTCCGAAATGACAATGCCCTAGCCAGATATTAACATGACAACATTGAAAAAAAAACAGATGAAAAATATTAAATCTTAATTCACCTGTAGTAGAGTTGAATCACTGCATTCATGATTTGCATCCAACTGAACATTTCCCTCCTCAAAGTAATGAGCCCCTACCTAAACAAGTTAAATAAATAAGAATTTCAGAACCCATTGATCAAACTTCAAGTAACTTCTTTCATTTAACAGAAAATATGAAAATATCCCCAAACCCCAATTCTATCCAATTGCAAGTTGCAACTACCTGCAATATGCCTCGTATTTCCACCATTTGATCCTCATCCTTGAACTCAACATTCCATATCGATCTCCAACTTCCATTGCTGTGTGATACACCAAAGATACTTTAGATCAATGATCAGCTGGAAGATAAGCTCCAAAAACTTTCCATTGGGGGACCATTAATTGAGATGTATCAAGAAAATATTACATGATTTGAAACAGCTCTATAGAAACATATATGACATACAAAACATATAGAAATATAAAATCTCATCCCAACCTAAGTATAATGCAAATTACATCTTCAGTTGTTTTTTTTAGGAACATGACAATAGTATTGGATTTTAATAATATAACAAGATACTGAGAGCTAGAGCGATAAGGGTGCTACAGGCTTTCTGAGACACTAGGCGACTGCAAAATGAAATTTAAGAGCAAGGTAGCTATTTCTCTTTCTATGCATTAGATAAAAGGAAATTGACATTTGCACAGTACCAACAAATGTTTCCGGAAATGATGATGAATATCAAATTATATATTCTCTATTCGTATATATATATAAGTGCAACACGCTCAAAATTTCTGATTAAAAAACTTAGCATAGAGACTTCATGAGCGGAGCTCTAACTAGACCTCTAAATTTCACCGACTCAAAAACACAAGGTGGACTAGACATGTAATGCTATCCGAATTAACATCTAAAAAACAAGAAAAGGAAGGGTAAAGCCTGGAAAGCAGAGAAATAATAGTAGCTCTTAAGGAAAATAAGTACAGATGAACTCACCAGAAATTATTAGGACTGAGCCTGGCGGCAGAAATAACCACAACTAACTCAAAATCAGACCCTGGTTCTTCCACATCTTTTCCCTTTACACAATAAACTGCAGAGAACCCTTTTGGATAAGCTTCACTAGCATATTTCATGACTTCAGCATCCAAAGCACATCTGTAACAAAAGTCAAAAGATAGAACTGCAGATCAACAGGACTGAGTTTAGAGTGCAATGATGAGAAAGGTCTTATATATACTCAATCCGCAAGCCAGAATATCAGGACATGCAACTTATCTTAATCAAACTTGAATTAGTATCTTAAGCGCTGTCAGTTAGATACTTAGATTCAATTGACTGTTATCATAAATGAATAATTGAATCCAGTCCCTAGAAGAACAAAAAATGTAATCCAACTGAACATTTTCTTGCATATGAGAGATATATGATCCTACTCATTCATTTGATTTAGCTAGAATTCAAGCAGTGCTGTTTCAGGAGGTGACAAGTGCCATAAATCTAAGAAAAAACATATAACAGCTAATTAACCATAATTCTATCATCACCAACAGCTTTTAGACTACTAAAAAAAGTCCTGGCTTTAAGGGTAAGTCTATACTTCAGAGCGCATCTTCATTCACCATGGCATTTCATATTAGAAAAAGTACCAAAGTATTTAACCACCTGAATTCCTCAATGTAGGAAGATGGAAGTTCCTCGTCACTAGCAGGTCTCGCCTCTGTACAAGCCTGAGCCAGTTTAGCAAGTTATGATAATTATCATATCAAACATGTATTTAAAAGACAAGTACAAGACTATGAAACAGAAATCAATTTGACAAAAGCTTACATGCAGACATGCTTCCATCCAATCCTTTAATATTAAAAACCAATCTAGATTAAAATGTAGCCCAAACACCCCGGGGTAATTCCTTTGTAGTAAACAAGCAAAGATAAGTCAAAGGTAAGAATGACAAAGGGATAACATATTACAAAGAGCATAGACATATTACCATTTCCAGTTTAGTTTAGTTATAGCACAGGAATACATGTGGGAGATGGGTGTCAAAAGGAACAGAAAGCTGAAAAAGAGTATACTAAATGCAGAGCAAATAATTAAGACAGACTTATCAAGTTCTTTTCAACAATCCAACATTTAAGAAAAATTGAGGAAATTGACATAAGATGGTCACCCAAAAAGTCCAAGAAAATTCCAGTTTGAGATATGTAATTTCATTCTTGATCCTTGTTCTTTTGGTGTAAGGTGTAAATAGTACTCCGTACTATGAAGTACATCATATATAAAAAATAAAAAAATAATAAAAAAAAAGGCACCATACCCTGGTCATAGGCTATAAATTCAAAACAGGGTTAGAAAAGAGTAGCAAATGACAGCAAAGACTCACTTGTTTGACATGATCTACAATAGCAACTTGGGCAGTCCTAGGATCAAGATACTCATTCTCAGCAACCTCACTGAATGGTGCAATTATCACCTGAAACGAAACAATAAGATCAATTTTCATAGACATCACAATTCACAAACACACATCCCAGATCCCATGTCATTGGATACACTACATATTTTATCTCCAATATCAAATAATTAACATCAGAATTCCACTATTTTACATTCTTAAACACAAATACCTCAGAACATATCTTAAAAAGCACTCAAAAACGAAAAATCGAAAAAAGCAACAAAAATAGAAATAGTATAAAGAATCTTGTTTAACCAAATTAGTGACATGGTGCAACATTACACACACATCAAACAAAAAGTAGCTCAGCAATTAAATGTCAATATAATCAAACCGATTAGCACAAGAATTAAGGTTTGCATCTGTGATTAATCTACTTATAGTAATTCCCTCAACAAAAACACCTATAATTTGAGCGCAATTTTACAATGCAGCCAAATATATCCGAAAAAATTTCCAGTAATAAACCCTAAAACATCAAAAAGCTCAACATCTAAAATACAAACCAAATAACAATAAAAACAGAATGAAAAGTAAAATGCTCAAAACCGTCGAAAAAAACACTAACATCACCACTTCTATCAGGAAGCTCGAGACAAATCAAATGAGATTTGTTATACTGAGGAAACGCCTCCAAAGCAGCCAAATTATGCACATTATCATCCTTCAAAATCGTCTTCAAATCTATTCATCATCAACAACACAAAAAACCGCAAAAATCAGCAATAAAATCTCAAAAAACAACGAAAAATCAACAATAAAAAACCGAACAAAAAAGCGACGAAAATTGGAGAGAGAAAGAGAAAACGACCTTTGAAAATGTACTGGATTTCGCCGGCGGGAGAGTTTAAGAGGAACCATTTGGCAATCTCAATCTTCTGTTTATCGCTAAGTTGAAGGTCAGAGTCATGGTCCGCCATGGAAGTTGAGCTTTCTCTCTCTATGAAAAATGATTTTCTCTCTCGGGTGTCGTTGGTTTGAAGTATTGAGTGAGTCTGGGTAGAAAGTGCGAAGGGGAAGGAAGTAGTAACGTGGGTTTGAAATGATTTCAGCGCAGAATTTGCGACACTTTTTTTTAATTATTGTGGTGAAATGGGAGATGGGACTTTCTCTGTCCGTTTCTATTTTTCAAATTATATTTTTATAATGGTGTATATTGGGGGATGGGGTCCATGTTCGTATAATCCGATACAAATAGTCCTGTACTAGTATTTAATTACTCCGTATTGACATTAACAGTAAGGTATACGTGTATGAATTAGATGATAAAGGAGTTGTTCTAATTTTAATTAATTTCAAGTCTTGAATTCAAATTATAGGAACACTTACCAGAAGATTTTTCTACCTTATCAAGACTTAGCTTACCCAAACCTTAATAAGTCATAATTTGACTACTTTAAATTAATGATTAAAGTAGCCTAACATGGAAGTATTATCAACATTTTAATAACAAGCTCGGATCTCCTTATGTTCTATAAATTCTTTTCTTCAACTTCTGTCCTATAAAATATACTTTGTATTAACAAGCATCAAATTGAGTATCATGCAAGTTCATGCATGGGAGCACCGCGCCACAGTTGCCACCACTAGTTGTACTCTTGAATGTCAAGCAAGAGACTTGAGAAGACTCGGATTATATAAAAGAAAAAATTAATCAAGCACCTAAATGGTTTTGGAAGCAGCAATATTGGTACTCAAGTATCAACTAAGAAACTCGATAAACAATACAAAACTTAAGTATTCAGAAATCATACACAATATCCTGCCGACTACAGAAAAAATTGTCTCCAGACAAAGTTGAACAGCAGGAGAAACAAAAATTATACATTCAGAATGTTCAGCATCATCCCTAACTTCTCTAACTTGGCATTTTCCTGAGTTTCAGGGGGTTGAAACTACAAACTAGGACAAAAACTGCTGCCTTCAGGAACAGAAGTAATTAGTTCATATCTACATCTGTCAGATAATCCTATCCTTTATATGTACAATTTTCAGGGTTACAGTACGCTGCCACTGCTGATGACTGGGAAGAACACAAAGCCAACTCAAGGCAAGCCGCTATAACTAAAGATACTGTTAATTTCGACTTCACTACCAAGTGCTAGCATAAATTCACTTTTGAACCATAACTAGCTTCCAAGTATCGTTTCCATGCCCTCAAGGGATTCAATAGCTGATATTCCCTGGACACAAAGTTCAACTGCTTTGGTAATACGCCTCTTGCAGCAAAACCAATATAATCTGTAGAATTTGTGAAACTCTGGATTCTAGACATAATGCTGCCATTAGTATATCTAGTCCCTTCATCGAATTCAGAAATAGATTCCTCTTGATGTGAGTGAATCACTTCTTTGTTTTGCCTTTCTAGTTCAGACATTTCCGAGTCGTCTTGAGATAAAATATAGTTATTCAGGCCAAATGACTCCCAATCAACCTGCTGCATGATTTCAGCAGCTCGGTCAATGCCCTTTAAGGCATATTCTTTAATTTGACGAGGTTTCTCAAGGGCCAATTTGTCCACCTGGAGTTTCAGTTCATTCAGTCGCTGACCTATCCTTGTAGACACAGCATCATATGAATTCCCTCTCAATGCAAGATCTGTTTCTTCAGCATTAAGCAAATCATCAAACTCCATAGGATCGCCAATTAGTACAGTCACCTACATAATTCACATACAGAAGCTATTATACTGATATGCCAGAAAAACAAATTAACAAGAAAACAGTTGCACAGGTCAATGATTTAAGGAAATGAGACTGCACTAATTCTCAACATTGCATAACAAAGAATCAATACAATTACATTTAACCCTCAAACAATAAATAAGTATTATTCTTTAGTTTTGCGGGATGAGCGACACTACGTGATGCATGCAAAATCTGGGAACAGCTAAGTTTGACTTACTGTCTTGCCAATCCTTGGAAAGCTGGCTCCAATAGGTATAATCTCTTGCATACCAGTATGCACAAACGGGACTACAATTGGTGTTTTGTCAGCATCCAACACCAACCTGTAAAAGGAAAAATACACACAGACACAAACAATTTATAATCCTGCAACATTCAGAAGCATATCATATGAGTGCAAACTACACATCCTCATTATCCACCCCCCCCCCCCCCAAAAAAAAAAAAAAAAAAAAAAAAAAAAGAATCTCTGAAAAATGCATGTGATAAATAAAAGCAAAGCATGAAAATAGATGAGATGCAATGCTTTCTTGTCAAGAAACATATACTACCTCCGTTTCAATTCATTTGCAACGATGTGACATTCACCAACATCTAGGGAAAATTTGTTTGTGACCGGTAAATGGAGAGAGAAAAAAAAAAGTTTGCATATGATGAAGAGAGAGAGAGAGGAAAAAAAATGATAAATAAAAAAGGAAAGAAAACATTTGTTGCAAATAATTTGTAGTATCCATTCATGGTAATTGTTGCAAATAAATTGAAACGGAGGTAGTAGTTCATTATCAGATGTCAATGCTCTATTCAGAAGTACATCATTTACAAGTGTAAGTCATACGATTGGAGGTTTCTTACCCCAATAAACAAGTTTAAAATAGCTTAACTAGGAGTCCATATGCAACGCCAATATGAGGTTTGCAAAAGCAATTTTAACTAGATGTTAGCTATCTGAACATGCCTAGTTCCTTTCTATATTCAATCTTTTATATATGCAAAGTTTTCTTCTGCTACTGCTATATTTTTTTAAGGGGTCCTCCTCTTCACCATTTATAATCATTCTTTCATTTGTATGCATTTACAGATACAAGCTGAGGTAATTTGTGTAGAAAAATTAAGTCAACTGAAATTTTGGAATTCTGTCAAATGCTATAATTCATATTAGTTACTCCGGAGTACAAGCTTACAACTCTGGTTAAATGCTATAGTAACTTAGCAAGGGAATCCAATTATAATAGCACTTTTTCCTCATCTCCACTTTAGATAAGATAGAAATTCATTTTGATGACCTTGTCTTGGATTATTTAAAAAAAAATTCTTAAAACCACTTCTTTAAAATCCAACTTCTCCCTTCACCTACCTTGGTAACTGTTTACACCATGATTCAATTAATGCACCTCTAGAACTTTATAACCAAATTAGTTTATCAAGAATACCCCTAAAGGAAAACCCAATAAAGAAAAGGATATTAAAAATGCATTGTTAGAACTTAGGACTAAAGATCTTTATGACATTTTCATTAATTCTTTATCAGACTTTCTACTTTCTCATGAGTTAGTACACTTTCATCTGTACTATGATTACTTTTTTTTTTTTCTTTTTGGTGGAAGGGGCAAGTTGATATTATGAAGATTTCTAAAAGCAATACGGATCAGAATATCAAGACTATAAAGTTTATAAAACAAAAAGATCTGACCTCCCAACACCCCTCTTGGCTGACCCAATAGTTTTCCCACCATCTCGTGAACGGCTACCTTCAGGGAAGATGTGGACCCATCCGCCATTATTTAGTTTAGATATAGCTGTGTCCAGGCCCTGGAGCAGGTAAAGCCACAGATACAGTGTAAAACAGTTGAAATAAGATGGTACAATATTGATCATACAATGTAAAAATTACATTACAGTAGCAATGCTTTCCTATATATTAAGGAAACTGCTATACCTTCTGGTATATCCCATCACCACGAGAAACAGGCAGAACCTTTAAAGACTTGAAGAATGCAGAAGTGACTGGATTTTTGAAACATCGATCACTTGCACAGAGGGTCCATCTTAAGTTTTGAGCATCCATGAGAACACTTGGAGGGAGCAACGAGGCAATCACAAGTGGATCATCCATAGAAGCAACATGATTACTAACCTGCAATGCACAAGTACACATCAGATCATGTTTCTTCCCCTTCTTATAGAGAACTTGCAACGAATGCCGTGGATAGCGAGCACAACAAGGATTGGATCACCTATGAGCGCAGAAGGAAGAAAGGGCAGCAGCTGCAAGGCCCAGCAGAGGAGCCACCAAATCAACCAAGTTAAGGATTGCTGGCAGAGCCTCTCTAAGAATGACAGCTGCAACTTTTTGTCCTCTTTCTTTTTTTGGCTGATTGTGTACATATAAGAAAAAGGGGAGTGGGAGTGTGCTAGGTAGCTGGTGATTGGTAAACTTAGAGTGTAGAGCATTGTACCCTAAAGGTGCTAGTAGAGAGTCGTGGCCTCAAGCCACCTTGTTTGTAAGATTCAATCTTTATTCAATGAAATAGCTGCCTTCTTCCCTAAAAATATTATCCTTTTTTGCTTTCAAGTTCCATTAATACAGCAAAGTATAAGTAGAGCGTTACAGAACTCCCTCACACTATGTATAGAGCTACAGAGATACAACTATACAATTCAACAAATCTTAGTACCTACGAAATAAGGAAAAATGCATAATTTTAAACCATAAATGATACGCGATGTATTGACTGGTATACATATTTTTTCAGCTAATCAAGCTATTAAGGCCCATATAAAAACAAGCATGAGTCCATGATAGGCCAGTATTGGTGATATTTCGAAAAAAATGTCACGCCAACAGCAATCTTTTACTCAACATCACATATATTACGCATCTGCGATGGACAACAATTAAATTGTGACTTTTAATGTGATTATAGAAAGTGCCCTTCATTTAAGAGCAATTCTTGTTCTAATTTGTTGATAGATCATCTTTTCAACATAAAGCAAGTAACCAACATAAACAAAAGACCATCATGCACACAAACGCAAATCATCCAAAACACCCAAATCACCTAAGGTACAACTCTCTAAATGTAACTCATGAACAAGCGCTCACACAATGGTTGGAAGGGGACACTCCAGGCAGTAAAGGAATATAAAAGGAAACGGTACAAACTGTTATTAGTGGCTTCTCCTTAGATTTATTCTGCACAGCTTTAAGTAACTTCTCTGCACCATAAACCTGTCAATCAGACAAATTCAAGAATTTAATGATTTTTAAAGAACAAGGAAAATAACAAAGAATATAATACTGGTCCAGGACGACTCATACCTGGACACGGTTGAGTCCATGCATAAATACATGGCAAACATTCCCAAGAACAGGTACTGCCACAGCCTGAACCATGCGGGTGATAGCTGACTCTTCTTCAGCATAAATATCCCTTTTAACTGCATACATTCAATTTTTTCACAGAATTAACAAACAATTTCATACAAATCCATATCTTAATTTATGTATAAGTGCATTTTAGTATATTAATTTGTAAGTGATGGAAATGGAACTAACACACGATTTCCATTATATATTGTTTGGTAT